CCCAGTCACCAGCTCTCTCTCTCTCTCTCTCTCTCTCTCTCTCTCTCTCACACACACACACACACACGCACACGCACACACACACACACACATACCGGTGTCATATTGCTCAGATAATTGAATCTATCAATAAATCCTCAAACAAAAACTACTTTATAATGGAACTCGAGTCTATCTTAACGCAAAAATCTAGATCGCATCCATTCTGTAGCCTATTCCGGGGATTAAATCAATGTCACAGCCAGGTGTCACTGTGACCCACACGTGCTGTCCCCTGTTGTCTGGTTGTTTAGGTAAACAAAGATGTCGGTCATCACGCAGATATTGTACAGGTAGACGACAATTGTGTGAAGGAAGATGTTCAGCTGAGAGACGTTTTTGTGGATAAGCGATGGAGTTGCTGTAAGTGTGAAATATGTTTTTATGTTCTCACTGGCCACTAGCCTGACTAGCAACCAGCATTCACGAAAGTATCATAAGGCACCGTCTTATGACTAAGCAAATTCAATTTCGCTGGCTTGATGAGGGTCGTACTCCTCCCCTTAGTCCCTTGCTTAGTATTATATGCAAGCCCGTAGCCAGAAATTTCAGAGGAGGTGCTTTCTTTTCAGCAAAAAGGTTCACCTTTTACCATGAAACCTTCGTATACATAGGTAAATTTTTACCCAGAGCATGCTGTTTCCTAACAAAAAGGGCGGTTCGTTCGACACCCCTCTCCTTGGCTACAGGCCTGTATATATATATAATTCTGGAGAGGAGAGTTCTCTTATGGAAGTATGTTTTCGTGTCTACCTCAACCTACATTTTAAGTTATTGCATGTCGCTAGGTGCCAAAGCGGTATTTTACAATGTTTGACATAATGAGCCGATCAGAGCGTAGCTCTCCATTGTGTCAGTGTTGTGTTATGTTAATCGATCGCCCATGTTCACTGCATGCTAAGAGGAATATAATCGATGACATAATACATACATACGGTAACCCACGACTTAGCCTCTTAGGTAGATATTCGGTCTTGACTCAGGTTTAACACAAAACAAACGACCAGAGCTCGTTTAAGACATATTCACCAGAGCATACTGGTTTTATTGGTATGGACATGTCACCTGCATTTTGCAATTAGTTTGGTCGACGTAGGTCAACCACAGGTTCGTCTCCTGCTTGTGCAATCATAGTCAGAACGCCGTACTAGATGGGTTTGTGAAATGAAATGTCGTTTTAATTGTATTCTCAGGTGAGAAGAACAAACATGGGAAGTGGGGCCAGTAAGAAAAAGGTCATAAACAACCGTGTCGAGTATGACGTCCAAAAACATGTAGCAGACGTCGGCAGCAAAAACGTGGGAGACGTAACAGAAAAATCACGTGCTGATAATTATACTCCACCGATAGAGGACCTGGAAGAGGTGATTGAACCTGCCATTCGTAAGGTATGTTTCGCCCATATTGTTATACAGACCAATATTTTTCATAGTGTTACAGAATGCGCTAAGTAGATGGTTACACCCAGTTTCTTTATATGTCTCTTACTATTAGTGACATACACATAAGTTATAGCTATCACTTATTTCAACAGAGGATCTAGGGATGGAAACAGTGGGCTACAGATCCCCCCTAAACGAAACGGGACAAAACCAAATTATTTCCCCACCACTCTGGCTTTGATAATTTTATAGAATTGTCCTCGATCAATATTTTATAATTGTCAAGCAAATCTGGGCAATCATTTCCGCCTTTGCCCCCCCACCCCCACCCCCACCCCCAAACCCCACCTACCTAGCAAAACCAATGTATGTTGATTCATGGAGCGCTTAAGAGAGACGACTGAAGGAGTAATGACATTTACTATAAACAGGGGTGAGCGTACGGTTTCAGCAGTGCCTATCTATGGTTTTATCTTTCAGGAAGTTGCCATACCTCTCGGCAGCGCGCCCAGGACCTCGGCTAGTCATGATAGCTCCACACAACACCAAGAGAGCAGGTCTGATGAGAAGATAGAAAGCAAGGACAAAGAGGATGACGAAGGGACAGAAGTAGTTGACATTTCCCATGAGCCAAATAATGCAACACAGTCAAATGAATATCTGGACAGAGAACCAAATAACAAGCACCTTGATGATGGTGTTAGAAGTGCATGCATCGCCAATGAAAACGAAACATCGCCGTCTGATGAAGATGCATCACCCGATGCATTAGGAGTGTCGAAGGCTAAGCCAGAAACCGAGTGCATTATAGCAGTCGAACCAACCAAGGAAATAAAGAAACCATTTAAACACGTCTGGCAGATATTCGGAATGTACGCTTCTGTTGTAAAGGAAAACCAGGCAAAGAACCTCCCTGGCGTGGCACTGAAAGTTGGCAAAGAACTGAAAGCGGTGGAGAAAGAACTCCACGAACGGTACAAAACACGGAAAGAGTTGCAGTATTTCGCCAAAATCGGCCTGACCACTAAATGTATGAAATGTTGTCTAGTGAAAGCCAAAATCAAAGATTTCCTATCAGTTTGGCAGGATTCAACAGGAGCACTCGCTCTGTCTTTACTTCTCCGTAGACTTAAACGGCAGTTGGAGATAAATAAATCATATAACGAAACAGAAAGCATGGATCTTCACAATCCACTAGGAAATACGACGGCAGAAAGGGTTTGTAGTTCTACGTTTTTTTTTCTGTATGTAGTAATTATCCAATGGGCGTTAAATCGACTACTAAAGAATATAGCTGTGTTTGATCGAGAGTATCTGTACACAATGAATTACACAAAAAATGTCATCCTAATGCCACAGACGACACGTTACATACTTACGTATAAGTAGTATAAGGTGGCTTTTAAAGAGTGAACGAAACTAATGTTTACTCCTGAATCTGACACTTCTCATGATCGATCAGTATCACTTAATTTTGTAAGGTGTCAACTGCCGCAAACGTTCTTCTTATATGGGAATCAAAATATTCTAATTAATCAACCAGACAATCAATCAATTAGTCAATAAAACACGCTTAATTTTGATACTGCTCTTGCAGTGCCTTTGGTTCTAAACTGGCCCTTTGAAGTTCTCAGTTATCCAATTACAATTTACAGGTTGCTAATTTGGCAGGGAGCGGGGCAGAAGCGCTTGATCGTGCAGATGAGTTCGGTTTGACTAACGTAGGTGAACACATCTTAGAAGACGCCCTGGATCTAGGAGACGGGCTACCGTACGTTAAGACGGTCCTGTCCATCATACGCAGCGTGTATCGGATATTTAAAGCCAACGCAACGCTGTTAAATGACGCCATGGACTTACTCCGTACCATCAGGAATGTTGAGGTGATTCTTGGGGGTACCATCATCGCTAAAGACGAAAAGTCTGCGTTCCTCCTCGAACAACTGATGGACGTCCTAGACCAGGCGGAATTCTACGTCATCCAGTGCATCATGCCTGACCAGAACGCCGTTGCCAAGGTACTCAAGGCCACATCGCGGGCGGATACGCTGCAGCAGCTTAAAGAGGACATAGTTAAACAGCTTAACCAGGCTATGTTCGCTGAGACCATGAAGCAGAGCGAGGTCCTGCAGACGCTAGACCAGAAGGCGAACAAGATGCTGGAACTGAAAGTGACATTAGAGCAAATTGTAAGTACCACTGTCACAATAAGTGCTTTTGGGGGATTTTGTAGGCTACTGGTGTTTCACATTACTAATACACGTGTAAAGGTTTCTGTAATAATTATTTTTAGTAGAATGATTTTCATCTGAATTATTTAACAATGTAAACACAAGATGGTTGGCAAAATAAGGTTATTTTAAAAATATTACAGACCTAAACCAGCTCTTCTTATTGTTATTTAAGGAGACGAACCAGCGAAATCAAACCAATGATATACAGGAAATGAAAGAGAGCCTGCAACAAATAATGGAGGGACTGAGTGAGTAGTTTAAGTTTAAAATCACCCAATTTAAGAAATATTTGGCCCTCTCTGTTTGGCAAAATTACCAACTAATGTTACAAATCGAAAACTAGATGTTAACGATGTCTTATCGTTTTGAATGTGATTTTAATTTCAAAACTTAAAGTTGTTTCTGATGACAAAACAAGGTGTAAAGCAAATGACAAATAATATAAAACACAGTCCGTCAGTATGAATTGACATTTTATTTTTGCCTCACACACCAGCACCGTCCAAGTACAAACCGGCCAATGGGAATTATCTGGAAATCGGCCCCTACAGAGTGCAGGTTCAAGGTGGGCGCCATTTTAAAACTGCCGAGGGGGAGTACGTGGAGCTAGGCAGTGGATATAACTATCGTTTGCTACTACGGAATGGAACGAAACGAAAATGCCAAGCTGAAGTCCATATAGACGGCCATAAAATCGGTTTGTATTGAATTCGATGCTCTGTTGTGAGTTCTGCTTTATTACATTCAAGATTCCCGCGTCAAGTCACATGGTACCAGGTGTCATGCGACACCTGGCGTGACGCGTAAACGATACATAGGCTAATACACTACAGCTCATTTAAAATAGTGAATAGTTTGTTCTCTATTTCTCTTTTCGAGTGCTCAAATATAGCTTACTTTGGTCTTGCTTCAGTTGTGTTCGGCGTTATCGAAATATAAACCACAGTTTGTAAATAAGCTTGAATTTTTTTATATGCATGCATTAGAAAAAGGTGAAAAAGAATCTTTTTTTTATTTTGTGATACTTTACCACCTCCATTTTTAGCATAAAGGTCTTTTTTTCATGCGGGTGTAACGTGACAGATAGTCCCCCATGATAGAGAGTCCGCTTCCAATTCATTTCTACTAGTAAGCCTCGCCCTAGATTTAAACTTACTTAGTTCAGGCTAACCTTAACCTTTATAACTAAATGGAGGGCAGACTGTCTGTTACACCAAGCCTCAGTTTCTTTACACTGTCTTGCTCCAATTTATCTGTGCATCGAAGTTAGTGTTTCTGGGGGAAATATACAACCTTTAGCTCTGTTTTAGGGGTGTTTGCGTTGCTGGGCGAGGAAGAGTACGTAATAGAGAGACCCGTGGGTATTCAGCGACGTTTCATGTTCTACCGGACCACTACAGGAGCTGCCATAGCGAACTCGGGAATTGAGGCCAAGAGAAGAGAGAATGGCGTTCTGGAGTGTGTTTTTACGCCGGAGTTGTTATACACGGTACTCAAAATTCTTTTTAAAAGAGCTTAAAGAGCTGTATAATTTGTTGGCTAGAAAATGTCCAAATACCTTCAGGCCCGTAGCCAGCAAAAGGGGGGTCCTTTTTCTGAAAAAGTGGACCTTTCGCCATGAAACCTTCGAGTACCTAGGTGAAATTTTACCCAGAGAGGAGCTTTTCCCCATCAAAAAAGGGGGGGGTCTTTCGAACCCCTCGAACCCCTCTTGGCTACGGGCCTGGCCTTTAGGATACATGTGCTCATTTTATTTGGCTGTTTTATCACATCCACACAGGATTACGTTCGTATAGTTTAAATTTTAACTTTCATTAATAATAAGTTTTTAAAATATTGGAAAAAATGTCCACAGAAAAAGTGGGCAAACTGTAAATGACCTGCTATCATTCTCTATCAGCATGAATGAGATGCAAACCTGATTTTTTACGTAGAACCAACAAAAAAACGAGCTAAGATGTTAAGAATTTTATAATTATCAAAATACGGGTATATTTGTATTTGTATATTTATATTTGTATTTGTATATTTATATTTGTATAAAAAAATACGCAAACAGTGTGGCATTATATTGTTATGACAAAATATACCAGTGCTAAACTTATTTCTTTTATTCTTTAAAATGTTACAGTTTAAAGGACGCTTAAGGAACTACAAAGGTGAACTTTCGGAAGTGCACACGGTGGACTTAAGTCCTGACCAGCAAATGGAGGACTTTGTGCGGTCAGTTATTGCGTCCAGCGCGGGGTTTGAACAGTCTGCAGATGCCTACTTGCTCTTGTGTGGGGAGAGATATTGGCATATTGACAACTTCGATTGGGGAGTGAAGCAACTGTACAAGTGAGTACTTTTCAAGAACGCGTTTTACTTTTTACATCAAAGTAATGTGAAAACAGCGACTTATTTAGACTTTGGAACGTTGTCCATGTAAAAGGGAAAAGGCCCCTTTTTTAGGTGTGAGGAGAATATTTGATTTTTACTACATTTTTTGTAAATTTTGAACTTTGAATATCTCATATTTAGGTAGAATACTGAGACTGGCGGGAAACTTCGTTGTAATGAATACAAATATTTTTTATCATTTTTACTACACTAGTAATTATTTTAATAATTTAAAGGTTTAAAAAACAGGCTGTATGAAAGAGGTGTTGCTTAGTACTGACTGGCTACCTCATATCTTCACCCAGCTCCTCGTAAAAGAAAAAACCATTCAAACATTCTTATAACTGAATACTTTTTGCCTTGTAGTTATTGGAAAGGCACAGCTTCTGAGTACCTCCTGTTTATAGAGATTGCCAAGGAAGTGCACATTATCAATCCTATAGATGACGAGAATGTGGAGAAGGAATCGTTTACCGTCGGATATACGGCTGACGTGAAGGAAGAAGTGAAGGCAAGGTTTAACATTCCTAGCTTGGAAGACGTGTCAATCAGTGACACAAAAAAAGCTGATGAGTGTGAGATCTACACCGTCCGAATACTGAAAGTGAAAGTGAAAGTGGTCAACCCCCCGGATACTCTCACATTGTACTTCTTTAAGAGCCAGGACGTGAAAGAGATGGTCGAGAAGGAACTGGCCATTAATGACAGCAGTGACCAGAGCATAGAGATTCACCACAGGAAAGATTCAGTACATGAACATTTTGTGTCCGACGTCACGGTAATCGTGAACAAGGACATCACACTCCACGTGACTGCCTTTGACGGCAGGCAAGATGACGTTGTTGTCAAAACGTACTCTACAATCGAGCAATTGATGTACCAACTTAAAGAACAGAACCTCGCGGAGTGTGACAGCGACGGTTTCACGCATTCTCAAAAAGAGTGCCAAGTAAACGAAGTGGAGTACCGCTGGACGGACTCCAAGTCTTTGTACCTTGCTCTGGAAGGCTTCTCGAATGGCTCCACAGTCGTTGTAAAACCTACCATATTCATCTACACCATCCGATACAGAGGCAAAGGGTCAGAGGAGGAGCTTTCTATTAGAATTGAGGCGTATAAACAAGTGGCAGACCTGGTAGAACGGACTGAGAAGGAATGTGATGAAAAGGGCCTAAATCTCTCGAAAGGATTTTTCTTAGTAAGAGGCGACAGCGAGATTCTAGACACAAGTATGGCCTTGAGGTGGGTTTAATTAAATTTCCCAAAAATTTGTGACTCATTTTTAATTCTATTCTTTACTATATTGTGCCGTTTCTGTATATTTCTGTATTCCGTCCCATGCCATTCTATGTGGACAGGCCCTCATAAACGATGTTTGAAAGGTTATCCTCCAAATATTTTCAGAGAACTCGGTGGCAGTCAAGATTTGACAATACTGCCTCCCCAATCAGACGTGTGCATCGTAGAGTATGACACACTGGAAGAGATCGGTACAGTCTCTGACGTCACGGTGGAAACAACTATACAGGAAGTTCTTGATAAGATACGCCAGCTCTTGGGAAAGCGGGTGAGGCCATTTTTTATATTCTTTCTTATATGTCGCTTTAGTGTTGATGTGGCTTTGTTTTACTTATTTGTCGAACATGTTACATCAACTCATATTTTGGTCTATTGAAAAACTATTTGTTCCATTTTTATGCAGAGCTGAACACGTATGCCTTTTTGATGATAAGCTTCTCTTACGAAAATGACAAAAACTCGTAACTTAATAGATCTTTTTTAACATGTAGATGTTATTTATCATTTATTTTTTGTTTCTTTTCTTGGGGTAATAAATAAAATTTATTACAAATAAAGCAGATGTCTGATTCGGACCCTCCATAAACCTGTGTGTCTTCGATAAAAGATCATATCATTAAATTAACTGTAGATTTGGCCTTCAAACATATAGTATGTTTTGTTACACAGGAAGGCAACCTGGATGATGCTAGCGTGGAAGAAAGGCACATCTGTATAGAGTTCGAAAACAACAACAGCTTCACCACTTTTTATAACACGGTGAGTAGGCCCTATATTTGATAGGCGGAACCTTTGTTCTGCCATAGCACGGGGCAAGGAACCATATGGTGTGACAGGCCTACCATAAATCAATGATCGTAGACGCTGAAGGGCAGACGTATGTTACTTATTCTCTGTGATATTTTATGATAAAGAGATAATCAACTTTTGAAACGGTAAACTGGGGGACAGACATACCAGTAGNTCTCACACACACACACGCACACGCACACACACACACGCATACCGGTGTCATATTGCTCAGATAATTGAATCTACCAATAAATCCTCAAACAAAAACTACTTTATAATGTAACTCGAGTCTATCTTAACGCAAAAATCTAGATCGCATCCATTCTGTAGCCTATTCCGGGGATTAAATCAATGTCACAGCCAGGTGTCACTGTGACCCACACGTGCTGTCCCCTGTTGTCTGGTTGTTTAGGTAAACAAAGATGTCGGTCATCACGCAGATATTTTACAGGTAGACGACAATTGTGTGAAGGAAGATGTTCAGCTGAGAGACGTTTTTGTGGATAAGCGATGGAGTTGCTGTAAGTGTGAAATAATATGTTTTTATGTTCTCACTGGCCACTAGCCTGACTAGCAACCAGCATTCACGAAAGTATCGTAAGGCACCGTCTTATGACTAAGCAAATTCCATTTCACTGGCTTGATGAGGGTCGTACTCCTCCCCTTAGTCCCTTGCTTAGTATTATGCAAGCCCGTAGCCAGAAATTTCAGAGGAGGTGCTTTCTTTTCAGGAAAAGGTGGGTATACATAGATAAATTTTTACCCAGAGCATGCTTATTCCTAACAAAAAGGGCGGTTCGTTCGACCCCCCCCCCCCCTCCTTGGCTACAGGCCTGTATATAGGCCTATATATAGGCTATATAATACTAGAGTGGAGAGATTTCTTGAGGAAGTATGTTTTCGTGTCTACCTCAACCTACATTTTAAGTTATTGCATGTCGCTAGGCGCCAAAGCGGTATTTTACAATGTTTGACATAATAAGCCTATCAGAGCGTAGCTCTCCATTGTGTCAGTGTTGTGTTCTGTTAATCGATCGCCGATGTTCACTGCACATGCTAAGAGAAATATAATCGATGACATAATACATGTAATACACGACATAACCTCTTAGGTAAATATTCTGTCTTGACTCAGGTTTAACACCAAACAGATGACCAGAGCTCGTTTAAGACAAATTCACCAGAGTATACTGGTTTTATTGGTATGTCACCTGCATTTTTCAGTCAGTTTGGTCGACGTAGGTCAACCACAGGTTCGTCTCCTGCTTGTGCAATCATATAGTCAGAACGCCATACTAGCTGGTTTTGTGAAATGAAATGTCGTTTTAATTGTATTCTCAGGTGAGAAGAACAAACATGGGAAGTGGGGCCAGTAAGAAAAAGGTCATAAACAACCGTGTCGAGTATGACGTCCAAAAACATGTAGCAGACGTCGGCAGCAAAAACGTGGGAGACGTAACAGAAAAATCACGTCATGATAATTCTGCTCCACTGATAGAGGACCTGGAAGAGGTGATTGAACCTGCCATTCGTAAGGTGTGTTTACCCCATATTGTTATACAGACCAATATTTTTCAAAGTGTTACACTTACAGAATGTGGAAAGTGGATTGTTACACCCAGTTTCTTTTAATGTCTTAACTATTAGTGACATATACATTAGTTATAGCTACCACTTATTTCAACAGAGGATCTAGGGATGGAAACAGTGGGCTACAGACCCCCTCTAAACGAAACGGGACAAAACCAAATTATTTCGACTACTTCCCCACCACTGTGGCTTAGATACTTTTATAGAATTGTCCTCGATCACTATCTTATAATTGTCAAGCAAATCGAGGCAATCATTTCCATCTTTGCTCCCTCCCCCCCCCCC